GCCAGTATCAGCCTTTGAGTCTCAATAGATTGCAGTATCTTATTGATTTGGGTCGAGTGGATCCTACTCAACCTATTGACTTAACTCAGCTGGTCAATGGAAGAGGTGTGACCATCCAGCCACTTAAAAGGGATTATGGTGTCCAGCTGGTAGAGGAGGTAAGTTTGGACTAGATTTTTTAGTGTTACATAGAAGGCTATATCTGAATTCCGTATAATCAGCACTCTGCCTTTGTAATTTTTATTTTTTCTTTTTTTTAAAGATTTTATTTATTTATTTGAGAGAGAGAGAGTGAGAGACAGCACGAGAGGGAAGAGGGTCAGAGGGAGAAGCAGACTCCCCGCTGAGCAGGGAGCCCGATGTGGGACTCTATCCCGGGACTCCAGGATCATGACCTGAGCCGAAGGCAGTTGCTTAACCAACTGAGCCACCTAGGCGCCCTAATTTTTATTTTTTTCGAGTTGTCATATAACCATTACATAGTGGCGATTGATTGTATTATAGTCAGTTGTAGTTTGAGGAAGTTGGCATGCTGTATTGAGGGGCCTTTGTATCCTGGTTCTGGGGTGCTCTACAGTGTATCCATTCATCTTGCTTCCTCACTCCCTTTGATACTCTGCTCAAATGTCTTATCAGGAAGATCTTTTTTGACATCCTTTTATAAAAGAATACTCACCGCCCCCCCGCCCCACCAACAGTCATACTCTTGTCTGCTTTAACCTGCCCAAAGTATTTTTCTTTGAATATATGAACACCTGACCTGTATTACCAAGTAGTACATTTATTTTTTCACTCTCTCCTTCACTATAATGTAAGTTCTTTGAGGACAAGTACTTTGGTTCATTGCTATATTTTCAGTATTGGAAATATTGGCTCATGATAATTATGGAGAAAAAGAATGAATCAAATCCAATTCCAGTTGCAGCAAAGTTTTCTATTTATAGAAATTGGCCAAGAGTTTCATCAACAGTTGAACTTGTTCATTAATACTTTTGTTTCTTGTCAGTAATACAGCTATGTAAGTAACTTAGTGTCCACTAGAGGGAAGCATATGTTTATGGAAAAACCTTTTAGATGCCTTTAAAAAAGTGAACCTCATGGATAAAAGTTTTCCAAATAAAATGATTTGAAAAGAGAATACAAAATACACTCTCAAGTCTCAGTATTCTATTCTGGGTATATAAGGGAATATACATGTAAATTAGTTTGGAAAAATCTTTGACTTTGTCAGCCAATAAACGGCACATTCCAACAGTTTTCAGGCATGTGTCTATATTAAACGAGGAAAATAATCCTGAAAACTACACCAGGGCAACAGTTGAGTAAGTACAGTTAGTTACACATCATTTGTAGCTCTGTAAATTGATTGACCTTTTCTGGATTTCAGATTTGTAATAAGTAATGGGTGGTAAGACTGTTTTAATCCTTCAGCACAAAATTACCAATTTTGGAGTGTATGTTTTCAAGGAATAATAAAATAAAAGAAACCTATCTGATACAAAGACATTCCTAAAAATGCTATTTATAATACTGAAAATGCTGGAACTAACTCTAATGCCCAAGAATAGGGAAATAGTTGGGCAATCTGGAATAGTAATTAAAATGCACGAATAATATGGCAAGACCTTATTGAGTCAAAGGTGCCATTGATTATAAAAATGTAGACCAGTTTCATAGATGGAAAAGTGAGAAAATGTGTCTTAGAATTGATGGAATATTTTTGAAATACATGAAAACTTAATAAAAGGAACTTGATTGGGAGCCAGCTTGTTTCGACCACACCAAAATAGCAGAAAAATTCTATCACTACAAAAAGAATGGTAATACCAGCATCTTTTAATTCAGAATGTGTTTTGAAATAAGAGTAAAATGTAGTACATCCTAATAAAAGTGACCAAAAACAGAACTTTAGAAAAGTTCAGTTCTACATTTTTTAGTATTGACTATACTAGAGAAAAGTAGACTTACATTTTTGTCCTTTTAGAGGCTGTAATAAAATGAATAGTAAATGTAAAGTGAATCTCTGTTGTGCTTTTCTGCCTTTTTTCCTAGAGGGGGCTGATCCCTCCCAGGTCAAATTTTTTTTTTTAAACATTTTATTTTTAAGTAATCCCTATACCCAAAACGGGGCTCGAACTTACAACCCCAAGATCAAGAATCACATGCTCTACTGACTGAGCCAGCCAGGTGCCCCTGTTGTCAGATATTTTGTTCTCCCAAAGGTTCCAGCATATTTGTCCCCTTGTTAACAATCTTGGTCTTTTGCTAACTTAAGGATAGAAGATAAGTTTTTTTCCATCTCAGTATGGCAGAATGTTGTGTTTAAGAACACAGGTGCTATGACTAGACTCCCTGGGTTAGAATCCTAGCTGTGTGAGGGGCACCTGGGTGGCACAGTCTGTTAAGCCTCCTGACTCTTGGTTTTGGCTCGGGTCTTCCTGGTCTTGGGGTTGTGGGATCGAGCCCTCTGTGATTCTTGGCGCTCAGTAGAGTCTGCTTAAGACTCTCTCTTTAAAATAAATAAATAAATCTTAAAAAAAAATCTTGCTGTGTGATCTTGACAAGTTACTTAACTTCTCTGTGCTTTGGTGTCCCCATCTGTGAAGTTGGCATAGCAATAATTTTGTCATAGGGTTGTTAGGAGGATTAAACAGTCTACTATTAATGAAGTACTGGGGATGGATGCTTATATTGCTGTTTAATAAATATATAAAATGAAAATGTAGTCATCCCTGCTTACAGAGAATGAAAATTGGTAAAACAGTGTCCTAAAAACAAAAAAAATTGCATGTTGTTTGATAGGACCTCAATGCAGAGGTATTTAGAGTTGGAATTACTGTTGCGTTATAAACATTTTGGAGGAGAAAATACAATGTAAAAAGGAAGCTTGCCATGACTACTTTTAGCCAGGCTATCTACAAACAGGCTTTGCTTTGACCTATTACAGGGTGCTGACACCTTTAAGGCAAAAGTTAATATTGAAGTACAGTTGGCTTCAGAACTAGCCATTGCTGCAATTGAAAAAAACGGTGGTGTTGTTACTACGGCCTTCTATGACCCAAGAAGTCTAGGTAAGATGTCCTGCAGTCCCTTTCTTTTCCTGCTTTGTCTCCTACTGGCTGCCCTATGAGGATTTTAAAAGTCCTCCTAGCTCTCTGACTTGGCAGTTTGGACACGTCAGTTTTCGGTTTTAGGGCTTCCTGTTAGTGGTGTGACTTCTTGTAATATACCTCAGTCAGTATGTATAAGAAGGTTTTTTGTTTTTAAACATGGGGCTTGCATATCATGTTACCTATGTCTAGAAATTCACTAATTGTTAGTAACCCAGGGATAACTTGGATTTTCAAGATGTAAACTTTTGAAAATGAAGTGTATCCATTTGCTTACTTAAGATAAATATATTTAATAAAAAAAAGTTCTTGGATTGAAGTGCTCATCTTGGTAGTATTTAAAAATTAATAATTAAAAGAAAATCATGTATATAGCCATTATTTGTATCTCTCTTTTTTATTTAAAATTTTTTCAGAAATTCTATGTAAACCCGTTCCATTCTTTCTGCGCGGACAACCCATTCCAAAACGAATGCTTCCGCCTGAAGCACTAGTACCGTATTATACTGATGCAAAGAATCGTGGTTACCTGGCCGATCCTGCCAAATTTCCTGAAGCAAGACTTGAGCTTGCCAAGAAGTATGGCTATATTTTACCTGATATCACTAAAGATGAACTCTTCAAAATGCTTAGTACTCGTAAGGATCCAAGGCAGATTTTCTTTGGTCTTGCCCCTGGATGGGTGGTGAATATGGCAGATAAGAAAATCCTCAAACCTACAGATGAAAATCTCCTCAAGTATTACAGCTCATGAATTCCCTTCCAGGAAAGCAGAGTTGTAAAAGAGTTCTGGAAGAAAACGGACTGAAGCATGCTTATTTCTCATCATCTTTTCTTGATTTATAATTCTCTAGATGTTGATGTTAATTTTCCATGTAGTCCTATATCCATTTTTATCTAAAATTGAAATAAATGGAATAAGCAAGGGCTGCATAGGGGAACTGAATCTGTGCGGGTTTTTTCTCAAAGAAACAGACTCCCTGGTTTTCTGCCAGAGGAAGATGGTAACTTTTAGGGTATTTCTTGTTTGTTTTCTCATGATCTTCTCGTCCAGGTCTTATGTTATCATTGTTGCAAATCAGAATGGATGTGCAGGTGGAATGGAACTGACTTTTTTTTAAAGATATTTATTTATTAGAATGAGAGCAGAAGAGATCACAGAGGGAGAGGGAGAAGCAGACTGGCCGCTGAGCAGGGAGCCCGATGTGGGGCTCGATCCCAGGACCCTGAGATCATGACCTGAGCTGAAGGCAGATGCTTAACCGACTGAGCCAACCAAGCGTCCCTGGAATGGGATTGATTGCTAAGCCTGCTCAGTCAAGGTTAAAGCAGTTACTAATGGTGGCCCATCTTAATAGCCTCAGGGAAGCTCTGCTATCCAGTGTCAAGGTGAAAAGCCTTCAAATCTGGATTATTAAGATGTGGGGTTTGAGCTTAAGGTTTAAATACAGTAAATAAGTAGTACAGTATTTACTAGAAAAACTGAAGCAAGAATTCCAAATGAATTCATTTTCTCAACTCGTCTGATAAGAGTAGACAATAATTAAGCCATTAACCATCTTGAAGAAGTGTTCTAATTCTAACTGATATTTTACTTATTTCATAGGTATTAGAGACCTTTGTTTTTCAGTCATTTTAAATGATTTTTGAAGAATTGTTCAGTGATTATATAAGCCATAAAAACAACTGGTAATGTGAAACTTTAACTCAATGTAAAAGATTCAGCAGTCAGCTTATTTAGCTTTGCAAAGATGTGTTGTACCTGAACCATACAAAAAAGCTCACTTTATCCTGCTGCAATTAAATCTTGAATAATTCATGATAATTTTTCCACAGGAAAAATAAACTATTCCTGGCTGTTTATTTTCTTAAAATAAAAAATTTAAAAGCCTAAATGATGCAGTATTTTATTTTGTTAACTTATCTGCCTTCTATATTGCTGATCTGAGATTCTTTTTATAAAGTAATTTATGCACCAAAAGTATGTATATTTAAATTTCTATCCAGGATTATATAATTTGGCTTATTGAACCATTTCGTAATAAACCAGAACTTACAAGAGTCACTGTTAGGACCAACTTCTATGATAATCACGTATGAATTTCAAGGGACAGGCAAAAATTTTAAGAACTTTTTTATTTTTCAGAGACTCCAAGTGAGTTGGGGTTTTAGGATTAGTTTTGGCTCCATTGATAGGAACCACAAAGCACAGGGGCTTGAATGAGATAAAGGTTCACTGAAGTGCTGAGACCTGTTCAGAGCTGATTGCTGGCTCTCCTCCACAATCTCAGAGCTCATGGCTTTCTCCCTGTGTAGCTCTCCCATCCCTAGAGTGAGATGTACATCTTCATGATCCAAATAGGGATCAATAAAAGCCAACTTTTCCTAAGAAAGATTCCTGGTAGCTGCCACACAAAACTTCTGTATACATCCCATTGGCCAGAACTTGGATACAGTTCCTTATGTCCTTAGCTGAAAAATTCCTTTAGGATGGGTGAGTAAGAGTGGATGTATTGGACAACCAGCAGGGGGTTGACACCTGTTTTGGTATTGACCAAACTTCAACCCCGAGGTTAACAGACAACATAAAAAGTGCAGAAATCTTAAATTCTTTAATAGTATATTCACCATTCTGGGATGCTGAGTTTGGTAAGAAGTACTAAGTCAATAAGCTGATTAATTCATCAACCTTGGTAAGGAATATGTTTTCAAAGGAATGATGACAAAGCACCAGAAAGCATCCAAGGAGTCATTTACTTTTTCTCTGTGCCTGCTTTTTCTAAACATTTTAACAAGCTATCTTAAACTTGCCATGTTAAGTATCTAAACAGTTATATTTGAATATAATGTGTGGAGGAAGAAAGATGATAGGTTGCAAGGAAAAATAGCAAGGTACAAAAATTTCAAAAACACTTTGAGTTTTTTCCATTAGGTATTTAAACTTGTGCCTTTATTCTTAAGCCATTGGAAATAGGGTCCATTAGAGGAGTCACTTTGCCTTTCTTAACTGTAAAATGCAGTGACAATCTGTATAATCCAAGAGATGTGTAAAGTGACCTCTAAGGTCTCTTTCAGCTCTAATGCCCTGATGATAAAGATGTTGCTTTGATGGGATGCCTGGGTGGCTCAGTTGGTTAAGCTGTTAAGCGTCTGCCTTTGGCTCAGGTCATAAACCCAGGGTCCTGTTGGGCTCCCTGTTCAGTGGGGAGTCTGCTTCTCCCTCTCCCTCTGCCCCCCTCCCCTGCTTGTGCTCTCGCTCTCTCTCAAATAAATGTTAAAAAAAAAAAAAATGAACTTCCCTAGGGGCACCTGGGTGGCTCAGTCGGTTGGGTGTCTGACTTGATTTTGTCTCAGGTTGTGATCTCAGGGTCCTGCGATCGGCTCTATCCGGCTCCAGGCTCAGCGGGAGTCTGCTTCTCTCCTCCCTGACCTCTCTCAAATAAATAAGTGAATACATAAATCTTAAAAAAAAAAAAAACGAACTTCCTTAAATTTAAACATTCTGTATCTGGGCATGAGGTATGGAAACAAAGGCAAGAGATACCATTTTTTGTGTACCACAGTGTGGGGACATTGCTCTAGGTGAGTTGGTGCCTCAACTTATTTGTGCTGCTGGATGTTTTCCTTTTGTGATTCAGTTCACAACTGCCCTTTTGGAGGGGCTGGTATTGCTTCAACAGGAAAAGTTCGTAATTAGAAATAATTAAAAGTTAGTCACGTAAAGATGGATTCCCTGGGCAAAAGCCCTCCAGTCTCAGAATGCACTTTTGAGGGCCCTTAGGTTCTCTTCTCCTTCCCTTCCCCGTCCATGCACAATGACTAAGTCACCCTGAGTTAAAGATGGAAAAGGAGACAGGCAAACACAAGACTTGCTTAATTGTAGCTATGGGCTATAGGTGAAGGGAAATCAGGATAGAACGATGGAAGAATGAAAACAGGAAACAGATGTCTGGTGATGTAATGCTTGGATAGTACTTATTCACTGAGCCTGGGCTTAGTCACAAACAGCTGTATCCTGATCTTAATATTATAATTGTGCAGATAATTCTTAGCCCAAACAGGCACGTTCCACAAAATCTGTCCAAGGCAATCCCTAAATTGCTGTATAGCAGGGAGACACAAGTTTATTTTAATTATGTAACAACGCTGGATTCCCAGGTCCTGCTCTACTGCTGGTCATTTACAAGGATTATGACGGCGAGAACACAGTGGCAGATGCTAGTAGCTTTATCTTGTTAAGATCACATCACTTGGAAATTTTAAGTAGAAAAGCAGGAAGTGTTGCGTCTAGATTGAAGTCCTTACCTGGTGTGTGGCTTCAGCCTGTTTTCAGTATACAGGATGGCCTATTTGCATGCAAGACTATAGAAAAGTTGGAGCTAATATGCATTAAAAAAGATTTTTTTTGATACCTCAGAAATAATTACTATGGATTTCCTGTTGAGTTCCTGAGTTTTCTTTTTTAAATGTTACCCTTCATTTATTGGAAAATGGAGTGGCTCTGGAATAGTAGAAAAAAATGTCAACTAACAGCAGAGTAACCCAACTTTGTGTCAGAGAATAAAGTATAAAGTATGCTAATGTTAATACAAATCCCAGACTGGCTGTGTCTCTAGATGCTTTGCTGGAGAGCCATATAGTATGGTGGAAGTTAGCACAACTTTCTCTGTCTAGTCCGGGCCTGGAATCCAGGCTCCTACAGCATGCTGACATGGGTGTTAAGTTGTCTGAGTTGTGAAGCTGGGATCATAATATCCACCTCTTTTTTTTTTTTTTTTTTAGATTTTATTTATTTATTCATGAGAGATAGAGGGAGAAGCAGACTCCCTGTGGAGCAGGGAGCCCAATGTGGGACTCGATCCCGGGACACTGGGATCACAACCCCGAGCCGAAGGCAGACGCTCACCTGGCTGAGCCAGCCAGGTGCCGCATTAATATCCACCTCTTTCTGTGCTTGGGGACTCAACCAGCTTAGCTGTGGAGAGGCACCAAGCACACAGAGCTGGTTTGCAGAGCCACCAGGAGTGGTTTACTTGGGCTCAGATCCCAGTAACATCCTTGTGGCCACGATTTAACCTCTCATGCCTCAGATTCCCCTGAAAAATCGGGGTAATGATAGATCTGGACACCTGGTTACGATGAGGGTTGAAAGAAGTCACTACTTGTAAAGCACTTAACACAACTCCTGGCACATAAGCGGCTGGGTTAGTGAATTCAGTTTCTTACAGTCCCTCTGATGTGGGAGCCACCCTATACATGTTACTTCCTTTTCTTCTTAAGATTTTCATGTAGGGTCAGTATCTTCTTAATGAAAGGCTTGCTGAACTTTCTTATTTGTATCAGGATCTGCTGAAATAAGTACATTTTGAAGAGTCAGCATGGTAGGAATTAGACCCAGAACCAGGAGGATTAAGTTGAATTTCAGTGATGTAGCCACTGATTTGCTCTGCCATTAATTTATAAAAGGCATCTACCTATCTGGAAAAGGTACTGAAATTGAGAGGAAAAATAAAAAATCTGGAAGCTACAAAAGGGGAAGAAAAAAAAGTTTGAATTTCTAAGATTTTATTTTTTATTTGAGAGAGAGAGAAGAGAATGAGAGAGCACGAGCTGGGGCAGTGGCAGAATCCCTACTGAGCAGGGAACCTGACATGGGACTCCATCCCAGGACCCCAGGATCATGACCTGATCTGAAGGCAGAAACTTAACCGGCTGAGCCACCGGGGTGTCCCAAGAAAGGAATTCTTACTTCCTAAGTGAAGAGGTCAGTAGGAGCTGTTTATGTGTCATTATCGTCAAATCTCTCATTTTATAGCTTCACAGCTTTGTACTTTTGGTCTGCCTTTCTCCTCTTCCCTGCAGCCTCCATGTTTGTTGATCCACCGGCAAACCATTTCCGCTGCAGCCCCTTTCCATGGTAAAGACGATTCCACCCTCCTCAAAGAG